CCTACTGAGACAAAATATAATAATAATAATAATAATTTAACAGTATAAAAATCTGACAGATATAATAAGTACAGAATAAACACAGAGTAAACACATCTCAATACCAATGATAACAATGAGGGTCTCCCAGGATACCGTCCTTTAGCCCCTTTTTTTTCTCAACTGTCCAGTGGATCTCCCGGGATACCGTCCCGTAGTCCATCATATGTGTACATTCGAAGGATCTCCCGGGATACCGTCCCGTAGTCCAACCATCAATGTGCAGGGGGATCTATCGGGAATCGAACCCGCAGTCCCAAAGTAAAAGTGTAGGGGGGATCTATCGGGAATCTAACCTGCAGTCCCAAAGTAAAAGTGCAGGGGGATCTATCGGGAATCGAACCCGCAGTCCCAAAGTAAACAAACAAGGGGGGGAGCTACCGGAATCCCACATCCGTAGTCCCAATGTAAATGCGCAATCAAAACCAGAAGGTACACAGAAACGAAGTACAAAAGGCAAGCAACAGGTAGTACTGGCCTTGCATGCTTCACGTAGTACAGTCAAGGCAACTTAAGCAATTAGGCAAGTTAAATCAACTAAACATGCTTCCCTAATCTAGCACATGTTATAATTGCAAGTAGAATAAAGAAAATATGAAAGGAACTCAATCTCAATATCTTAAGAAAACCGGTTTTTCAACAATTGGCTCAAGTACGCGCTCGTCACCTCGCGTACAAGGCACTCAAATCAACAAATAACAAATCCTAAGGGGAAAGGTCCCCCACACAAGGTTAGACAAGCCACTTACCTCGAACCGGCTCAATATCAATCGAAACCATGCCTTTGCCACGAGTATCCGACTCCAAATGGCCCAAATCTATTCCACTCAATTACATATCGTAAATAATATTGCAAACAACTGATTCCGCTAATAAATTCAAAGCTACGGCGTAAAATTAGGTGAAATAACCAAAATGCCCTTCAGGCCAACGCCTCGGAATCGAATAATTTTCACATTTTCAGAACACTCGTACTCTCACGAGTCTAACCATATAAAAATCTCCAAAATCGGAGGTCAAATGCTCACTCAAAACTCAATAATTTAGCCGATGAAGTTTTACCCCAAATTATCAAATTTTTGATCCTAAATTCGAATTCCCATGATGTATTTAACTATATAATGATGAAATATAACAAGAAGGGACCAAAGAAACGTTACCCAGTGATCTTCACTTCAAATCCCACTCAAAATCGCCTTAAACCGAGCTCTCAATTGATTTTGCAACTTATGAACTCAAACCCTCGACATCTCTATTTCTGTCCAGGGGTTTCCGCTTCTGCGGACAAGGGACCGCTTCTGCGGTCCCGCTTCTGCGGACCACGAGTCGCTTCTGCGGTTCTTCATTAAAGTCAAGATTTCCGCTTCTGCGGCCCTTCACCGCACCTCCGATTGCCGCTTATGCGGATTCATTACCGCTTCTGCGGTTTCAAACAAAATTCCAAGGACCGCACCTGCGACTACTATCTCGCAGGTGCGTAATCGCTTCGGCGGTTAAACTTCCGCACCTGCGGAAACTGAAAGGGACACTCTAATTCCGCTCCTGTGGCGGTCTAGCCGCTTCTGCGGCTCCGCTTCTGCGGTTCCCAAGTCGTAGAAGCGAAAATGCTAGATTACAGAATCCTTCAGCTATTCATTCAACTCCAAAATCTTCCGTCAACCACCCGAAGTCATCCCGAGGCCCCGGGGACCTCGACTAAAAGCACCAATACCACCTAATACCTTATTCAAACTTGTACCAATCCTTAAAACTCCTAAAACAACACCGGAAACCCGAATTAATCAAAGATTCAAGTCTAAGAACCTCAAATTCCAACCAAACACGCTTTCGATCAAAAACCTAACCAAACCTCGTCCGAATGACCTGAAATTTCACACACACATCCCAAATGACATGACGGAACTACTGCAACTTCGGGAATTCCAATCCGACCCTCGGACCAAAAACTCACTATCGGACCGGAAACTTCAAAAATTCAAACTTCGGCATTTCAAGCCTAAATGAGCTACGGACTTCCAAAATACATTCCAAACACGCTCCCAACCCCGAAATCACCTAACAGAACTAATGGAACCATCAGATTTCCATTCTGAGGTCGTCTTCACACTGTTCCGATTACGGACCATTTTTCAACACTTAAGCTCTCATTTAGGGACTAAGTGTCCCAAAACACTCTGAATCCTAACACCGAACGTCCCGGCATACTAAAATAGAAGAAATGAACTTAGGGGAAGCAATTAATGAGGGATCGGGGTGTAAATTCCAAAAACGACCGGCCGGGTCGTTACAACAAACCCCGAAATTACCAAAACCCGAGCCCCAGGCTCATTTCTCGAAACTCAGAAATTTTTACACCAATAGATTCCTTATCTCCTCACGAGTTCATACGTACCAAAAGTTCTCATATCCGACCTCAAATGGTCCCTCAAATCCCCAAATCAAATTTCAAATCCCTAGGCCCCAAACCTTCGGATTTCACTCCAAAAACAAGTAATCTAGTCAGGATATTTGATGATAATCCCATATTATTGACTAACAATGACCGCAAGTGACATAATCTCTAGTTTTCACATGAATTCTTACTCAACAATCACCCAAAAACGAAATTGAAGATTAGGGTATAGAACCTTACCTCTTTGATGAAGAACTTGAGGGATTTCTTGATGGATTTCAAGGATTGGACAACATTTTTTGATGAACAAGGCACTTGAGCTTCTTCCTCTCTCTAGAATTGCTCTTCCCTCTCTCTAAAAGCTCCAGAAAACCCCAAAATAACAAACCCCAAACGAGTTAAATGAAATGGAGTTCGGGTCTTAAAAACCCGTTTTTGTACTGCCACCCGCCGCATGGGGCACCGCATAGGGCGCCGCGATAGTGTAAAATTCTGCGCTGCTTTTGGTAATTTGGTCATAACTTCTTGTAGGAGTGTCCGAATGACAAACGCTTTGAAGCGGTAGAAACTAGATTCGAAAATCTTTCAATTGATAGGTTGTTCATCACATAAATCCTTATATTTATTCAGATATTCTTGTCCAAAGCTTGGTCTTGTGCTGCTCATTCGAAACTTTCGTCTAAAATGAAACTTTTCAACTTGGCTTGGACTTAGGCCTCTCTCTAGACCCCAAATCACATATAATATGCCCCGTACACTTATTATCATATCCAATTGATATCCATCATATTAATAGTCCTCGTTCGCAGACAAAATAATATAATTATCGCATATCAATTTTCTTAATAGCACTTCAAAAATTTTCCGAGGCGTTACACTAGGGAATGGAGGCCCTGTGTCTAAAAATCTCAACTTAGGGATTGGAGCCCTAATGTTGGCAAAAAGGCGACTAGGGAATGGAGGCCCTATGTCTAAAAATCTCAACTCAGGGATTGGAGCCCTAATGTTGGCAAAAAGGCGACTAGCGAATGGATGCCCTATGTCTAAAAACTCAACTCAGGGATTGGAGCCCTAATGTTGGTAAAAGGCGACTAGGGAATGGAGACCCTATGTCTAAAAACTCAACTAAAGGATTGGATCCCTAATGTTGGTAAAAGGCGACTAGGGAATGGAGGTCCTATGTCTAAAACCCAACTCAAGGATTGGGCCTTAAATTGGAAAGATTTCCAGGTTATGCTGGAAAATGACTGGGTTATGCCGGAAAAGGTAAAAAGGTCCTTGGGTTATGCCGGAAAAAGAAAAAGGTCCTCGGGTTATACCGGGGAGGTCCACGGGTTATGCCAGAAAAAAAAAAGAAAAAGGTCCTCGGGTTATGCCGGGGAGGTCCACGGGTTATGCCGGGAAAGTCATCGGGTTATGCCGGAAAAGAAAAAAAGGCCCTCGGGTTATGCAGGGGAGGTCCACGGGTTATGCTAGGGAAAAAAAAGAAAAAAAGGTCCCTGGGTTATGCTAGGGAGGTCCACGGGTTATGCCGAAAAAGTTCATCGGGTTATGCCGGAAAAGAAAAAGGTCCTCGGGTTATGCCGGGAAAGTTCATCGGCTTATGCCAGAAAAGAAAAAAAAGTCCTCGGGTTATGCCGGGAAGGTACACGGGTTAGCCAGAGCTGTCACACCTCCTTTTTTACACACCCGAAGGTAGTATATAAGGGAGTTTTCCACTTTAAGTGACATTATTCGAAATAGGATTATTTATTTATCAGAGTTGCCACTTGGGATAGTTTATTTGGTGTCCCAAGTCACCGGTTTATTTTGAATCTCACGTTACATGAAATGCACCCGCAATTCGAAACACATTTTATTCAACGTTATTGAGATTTGGATTTGGGTCACATGAAATGCACAGCCGAGTTTAGGAAAGTAATATTATTAAAATAACGCGCCTAAAGCAACTACGCGTTTTTAACTTTGCGAGGTCCATGAAAATTTGCTAAAGGGTACGCCTCGAATTATTCAAAAAGATTGCACTCTACTAAAGCAAACTAAGGATGTTCATATTTATTTCTTTCTAAGTTTGAGATTATTGCAAGGCCGTTGAGTTATGGAAGGTCAATGCGGATAGATGTGTAAAGATTAAATTTTGACATGTACATCAAATGGAGTTTACCAACATAGATTCTGAATTCCAAAAAAATCCATATACACTTTATATTCTCAAATCAAAATAAAAAAAAAACTGATGATATCATGAGACAATTGTATAGCAATATTACATGAGCCAGAATACACAAATGACTTGTACAAGAACTAAACCCAATTCAGCATTTCTTAGGTGCATGAATAGTCAACTTAAATGATTATACTGACAATCACGCAATACACTTTCAATGCTTGAAATTACAAAAAAAATGTTCTATTGACACATAAAACTTCAATTGACTTTTCACTAGAATTCCAATTTTATCACACTACCTGCTAGTTATACGAGAATTCATTTAGATCTTTGAATACAAATAAGATCGCAGCTAATCATAAGAAGCTTATCAAACATTCACACAGAGAAACAAGAATAGGGAAAAAAACCATAGGACATTTGAATCACTTAGCATGAGTGTGTTGTCTTCAATTCACAAATGTGACCAACTAGTGATCGCAGCTGCTAAATGATCAGCCCCTGCAGTGACTAAACTTCACAGTATCATACAAATACACTTCTGTTCTGATTAACAGGACTCAATTTTAAAGAATTACAAACTAACTGACAGCAGGATTCAATAAACTAAGATTCAATTTCGTCATCAAAACAAATCATATTGTCATAAAAGTCCATACATTTCAGAAAATCATAAGAGAGCAGGAAGCAAAATACCTATAATTACTTCGACAAATAAACCTTGAAACAATCGATAGAGCGGCAGAAAAGGCGCTGAAGGGAATTCAGCTGCTATTTTGCGAGCCAAACAGCAGAGACAGCAGTGCTACATCAACGCAAATCGCGAAGCAAGGACCAGCAGCCACGAGCAGCAACAATACAGCTCAACAATTCACTTGAACTCCATAAAAAATCAAGCCCAAAACCAAAGGAAGAGAGATTCTGAACCATTTGAATCTGAAATGAACCTTCACGCTACTGTTCGCCCCTTTTTTTATGGCTTTTCGTTATCTTTTCTTTTTGGTTTTTTCGGTCTTAAATTTTGAAGTGCACGCTTCTTCTTCCAGCAGCTTAGGCGTGTGTGTTTCAGAAAAATGAAGCAGAAGCAGTTGAAGGGAGCTGGAGGGGTTTGACCTTTCTGTTTATTTCTGGAAACGAAGAAAAAGAAATCAGCAGCAGTGCTGCTTCTTCGAAGAAAGGGGAAAAAGATTAGGGGTCTGGTTCTTCGATGAAGGTCTGTTCTTCATTTTGGTTCTTCAATAGGATGAAGAATAGAGGAAAAGGATCCGCCATTTTTTGATAGGGGTTGGGGTCTAAAAACTCTCCTCTTCATGTGTAGCCTAATCTTATCTATATGGGTCTAGGTCTAGGTTTTAATTGGAAGAGTATGAGTTTTGGGCTAATAGGTTTGGGTAGGGAGATTGGGTATTGTGTTTGGGCTTGGGTGATTATTTTTAAGGGAGGAAATCTTTGGGCTGAATTAAAGGTGCTTTATTTCTAATTTCCTTTTCTTTTCTTTTTCTTTAATTAAAAATCTTAAAACTAAAATCCTGGATTATCTAAAAATGTGAAATTAAACTAATTAACGAATTATAAAAATTATAAACCTCACTTAAATCTATATTAAAAGTGGAAAATCAATAAATCAAAATTAAGAGACAAAAAATGTAAAATGAGCTATTTTTGTGATTTTCAGATTTTTATAAAGCAAATGATTACTGATTAATTCTAAAAATGTAAAAATAAAGTCTAATGCCATGCGTGATATTTTTTTTGGTATTTTTCATGATTTAAATAAATCATAAACATGCACAAAATGCAAACAATTAAATAAAATTCTACCAAAATTCCTAAAAATGGCAAATAACTAAGAGAAATCTATTTTCTTGAGATTTTATAGGAGTATTTCGTATAGGGCAAAAATCACGTGCTCACAACCGCCAGTTGAACACATTTACCATAAAGAACAAGTACCAGTTGCTGCATATTGATGATTTGTTTGACCATTTGTAGGGTGCTAGGGTGTTTTCTGACATCGACTTGAGATCAGGGTATCATCAGTTGAAGATTCGAGACTCGGATGTTCCGAAGACTGCTTTCTGTACCAGATACAGCCATTATGAGTTTCTAGTGATGTCCTTCGGCTTGACTAACGCCCCAGCGGCATTTATGGATTTGATGAATAGGGTGTTTAGGCCTTATATTGATTCATTTGTCATTGTCTTCATTGCTGACATTTTGATCTGCTCTCATAGCATGGAGGAGCACGAGCAACATTTGAGAGTGGTACTTTAGACCTTGCGGGAACAACAACTATATGCTAAGTTCTCCAAGTGTGAGTTTTTGCTAGATTATGTGGAACTCTTGGGGCATGTTGTATCAGGCGAGGGTACTAAGGTAGATTCCAAGAAGATTGAGGCAGTACAGAGCTGGCCTCGTCCCACTTCGGCGACTGAGATCAGGAGTTTCTTGGGGTTATCAGGTTATTATCGCCGGTTTGTAGAGGGCTTCTCATTCATTACAGCACCTTTGACAAGATTTTCATAGAAGGGTGCTCCGTTCCGTTGGTCTGATGATTGTGAGGCGAGCTTTCAGAAGCTCAAGACAGCTTTGACTACAGCACCAGTTCTAGTGTTGCCTTCCAGTTCGGGGATGTATACGGTGTATTGCGACACTTTGCGCGTTGGCTTGGGTTGTGTACTGATGCAGGAGGGGCGAGTTATTGCGTATGCTTCGCTTCAACTGAAGATCCATGAGAAGAATTACCCTGTGCACGACCTAGAGCTTGCCGCGATTGTTCATGCTCTTAAGATCTGGAGGCCTCATCTTTACGGGGTGTCCTATGAGGTTTAAACTGATCATCGAAGCTTTCAGCATCTGTTCAAGCAAATGGATCTCAATTTGAGGCAGCGGAGATGGCTTGAGTTGCCGAAGGATTATGACATCACCATTCTTTATCATCCGGGCAAGGCGAATGTAGTCGTGGATGCCTTAAGCAGAAAGGCAGAGAGTATGCGTAGCTTGGCATTCATTTCAGCAGAGGAGAGGCCATTAGCTTTGGAAATTCAATCCTTGGCAAACATACTTGTGAGGTTTGATATTTCAGAGCCAGGTCGAGTTCTAGCATGCGTGGTTACCCAGTCTTTACTATTGGAGCAGATCAAGGCTCGACAGTTTGATGATCCACATTTGATGGTCTTAGAGAGACGGTACTACAGGGTGGTGCCAAGGAATTTTCTATCGGCGAGGATGGTGTTCTGCGACTCCAAGGTCATCTATGTGTTCCTAATGTCGATGGATTGGGAAGGAGGATTTTAGAGGAGTCACACAGTTCTCAGTACTTCATTCATCCAGGTTCTACGAAGATTTATCGCGACTAGAGACAGCATTATTGGCGGCTGATGAAGAAAGACATAGTTGAGTATGTAGCTAGGTGCCTAAATTACCGGCAGGTTAACTATATGCACCAAAGGCCAGGTGGCCTACTCCGGCATATGACAATATCGGAGTAGAAATGGGAGCGCATTACTATGGACTTCATAGTTGGGTTGCCACGAACCTTAAGAAAGTTTGATGCAGTTTAGGTCATTGTCGACAGGTTGACCAAGTCGACATACCTCATTCCAGTTATGACTACGTATACTTTAGAGAGGCTGGCCCAGATTTATATTCAGGAGATAGTTCGGTTGCATGGTGTGCCTGTTTCCATCATATCAGATAAAGGCCCTCAGTTTATTTCACATTTCTAGAGAGCCGTACAAAGTGAGTTGGGGCCCCATGTAGATCTCAGGACCGCATTTCATCGACAGACTGACGGGCACAACATGCTCAGAGCATGTGTGATTGACTTTAGAGGGCAGTGGGACCGATTCTTGCCTTTGGCTGAGTTTGCTTACAACAACAGTTATCAGTCCAGCATCGAGATGGCTCCATTTGAGGCTTTATATGGTCGACGATGTCGTTCTCCCATCGGGTAGTTTGAGACCGGCGAAGCTAAGTTATATGGTACTAATTTGGTAAAGATTCCTTGGAAAAGGTAAAGTTGATTAAGGAGCGACTTCGCATAGCACAGTCTTGATAGAAGAGTTACGCGGATCAGAAGGCACGTGAATTATCATTTATGGTAGGCGAGAAGGCTCTCTTGAAAGTCTCTTCGATGAAGGGGATCATGAGATTCGGGAAGAAGGGCAAGTTGAACCCAAGGTTTATAGGCCCATTTAAGGTGTGATGAGTTGGGAGGTTGCTTATGAGCTTGCCTTACCTCCCAGCCTAGCGGGAGTTCATCCGGTTTTTCATGTGTCTATGCTCCGGAGGTATCACGCCGACTTGTCACATGTGTTAGGCTTCGGCACTATTCAGTTAGATAAGAGCCTAGGTTACGAGGAGTAGCCAGTTGCCATTGTTGCTAGACAGGTTTGCCAGTTGAGATCCAAGAGGATTTCTGCAGAAAAGGTTTAGTGGAGGGGCCAACCAGTTGAGGAGGCGACTTGAGAGTCCGAGGAGGACATGCGGAGCAGATATCCACACTTATTCAGCAATCCAAGTATGATTCTAAACCCGTTTAAGGACGAACGTTTGTTTAAGAGGTGGAGAATGTAACGACCCGATCGGTCGTTTTGCTTTCTAGAACCTCGTTCCCTTAAATAAAACTTCCCGTACATGTTGTTACTTTCTTACGACTTGAGGGGATGGTTAGTTCGGGATTTGGAAGGGTTCGGGTTGAAATTTGAACACTTGGTTCCTTAAGGTTGGCAAAAAGAGCCAAGTTTGACTTCGGTCAACATTTTGAGCAAACAACTTCGGAATCAGGATTTGACGTTTCCAATAGATAGGTAAGTTGATTTCGGACTTGGGCATATGTTCTTTAAATTTTGTTTGGAGTAGGTTTTGGCGATATCTAGGTCCGAATGGAATTTCGAGACCGGGAATAGCTCCGTAATGTCATTTAAGACTTGCAAACAAAATTTGGCATCATTCTAAAAAGTCTATGTATGATTCGGCGCGTTCGGAGCGATTCGGAAACTTGAAGTTCATAAGTTGATTCAATTTGGTTTTGATGTTTTTTTACGTGTTTCGAGAGTTTGAGCAAGTCCGTATTATGTTTATATACTTGTCAGAGTATTTGGACGGGGTCCTGAGGGGCTCGGGTGCGTTTAGGATCGCCCGGAGCTAAGTTGAAAGATACCAGATTTCTGCTTATGGTTTCCTTCTTCGCAAACGCGGGTAGACCTTCGCATTCATGATGAAGGATTTGGGGAATGGGGATTTTTTCCCTTCTCATTCGCGCAAGCAGGGCCGCGGTCACGGATTGGCCTTCGCACTCGCATTGGGAAGGTCGCGTTCGCGTAGAAGCCTGGGCCTAGGCCTGGGCAGCCCAGTTGCCTTACGTGTTCGCATGCTGGGCCTCGCGTTCGCGAGGTGTAGGAGACCCAGTGCTTCACTTTCGCGTGGGCCTTCTCGCAATCGCGTAGAGCCTTTTTCTGGGCTCCTCAAGTTTAGCCATTGCGATCGGGAGGGCTTGGTCGCGATCGCGTATAAGGACCCCCTAGGCAGAATCATCTTTTAAAAAACGGGACTTAGGCTATTTTGGCTCATTTTCTTCCATTGTTGGGCGAGTCTTGGAGCTCTTAGAGAGAGGATTTCACTTAGCACTTTGAGGTAAGTAATTTCTACACAATGTGAGTTAAATACGTAGTTTACGGGTAGATTATAACATGTAAATTAGTGAAAATTATGGGTTTAGGTGAAAACCTAGGTTTTTGATAAAAATGAGATTTAACCACGAAATTGGTTAAGGGATTTAGTGAAAATCATATATTTGAGTTCATGAGGTTATGGGTAACAACTTTCTTCAAATATTTCCGGAATCCGGGCATGTGAGCTCGGGGGTGAGTTAAGTTATCTTACATTTGGGGTTGGGTAATCACTACATTAGTTGGAATATGAACTTTTGAACATATATTGATTAATTTATATACCATTTGATTAGTTTTGGATTGTTCGGCACCGAATTGAGGGTTGAGCACAACTTGGGACCGGAAAGTAGGCCTTGAGACGAGGTAAGTCTTTTTTCTAACCTTGTAAGAGGGAATTTACCCCATATGTGAACTAAATTAATATGTGCTATTATTTGTGGGGGCTACGTATGCACGAGGTGACGAGAGTCCGTACATAGATACTATTCATGCTTATGTCCGGGTAGTTTAGGTTTATACAATGCTTTGTGGGTACCGTTATCTGATTATATTTGTTAATTGTACCGAATAGGGCTAAGTTGAGGATTTTAAGATTTCAAAAGTTTCAAGTTGAATTTCTTTATT